AGAGCCCATGGTTCATTCCCCAGATAATGGAGAACCAGTTTCCCTATCCCTGCTTTAAGGATGGCCAATTAGAAGAGACTATGTTCAGGGCACAGATTTGCAAAGAAGCTCTGTCTCCTAGGGTGGATGGTCAAATACTGAAGAAAAGACCAAGTTCACAGCTGGATACACACTTAAGTACGATGATATTATACTGACAGTTTCAGGAACCTCCTTTGTGTTTGTGTGTCTGTGTGTGTGTGTGTTCCTGATGAGTTTCTGTTTTGGTGTGAGACCTATGGACAATGACTGGTACTAATTATAGAGGCTGAAGTATTTTACAATATCATTAAGAATCCTTTAAGTAGATTATTTTGTTGGTTCTGATATTTAACTTTCCAGGGGAAACAAAACTCAATATGAAGCGAACAGTTGGTTTTAGTGACTTAAGTGCTTTGAGGGAAAATGTTCAACCTCACTTAGCAATCCAGAATGGAAAATAAAACCTAAGGATTTAAGAGAAGATTTAATCGTATATGATATAGTCTTGCAATGGTACACTGACACAAAATGGAATGTTGTTTCCAGAAGGTATACAACCTTTGTAAAAGGTAATAGGGCAATAGGTATCAAGAGCTTTAAAATATTCATACTGCTGACCCATTACGTCCAATCCTTGGAATGTATCCTACAGAAATTAGATATGAATGCAATGATGTTGTCACCAGGGTGTTGTTAACGACAACTTCTATTAAAAAAAATAGAAACAACTTTAATGATCACCATAAGGTATACAATGGAATGTTATAATCACTAATATAGCAAAGGACACTTGGAAAATACTCATAATTTGATATTAAGTCAGAAGGGCAAGATATAAAAATTGATATAAACTACAACTATTTTGCAAAATATTGATACATACAGTATATGTACATAAATATATGTATATGAAATACTGAAGGGAAATATGCCAAAATATTAACAGTGGTATTCTTCAGAAAGTAACATTAGAGATAATTTCTTTTGTGTATGTTTTCTATTTTTATGAACCAATATGTATCACTATTATGATAAAAAAAAAGAGTAAGTTTTATTTTAAATGAACTGCTATGGCCATGACAGTGTAGAAGTTTGGGAGTGTAGACAACAGAGTTATAGCTCAATGGCAAAGTAAAAAGGGTAGTAAGTCAGGAGTCAAAGGCACTGGAAAATGAGCAAGGAGGTAAAGGCAAACTCTTGACTAACCCGGTAGACCACACAAGTGAGAAACTTGAGAACTCAAAGACAAGATATTACATTTGGCAATAACTCGCTTATTACCTGTTTTGTGTAAAGTAGCTAGTACACTTGAAGTGGCATATGAAATGACATAACAGTGTAATGCTGGCATACTCAACCAATGTGTGTCTTCCCAAGTTCCTTTAACTTTTTCCAAAATCCAGGAGAAGTTAGAGAGTTTTGTAAAGGCCAACCAACACTATTAAGTGTACTTGTTGCCAACCCCTTCATCACTATCCATTCTCCAACCAAGACAATTCTTGAGCAAATGTCATTCATTCAAAATGTCTACTGAATGCAAATTTTATGTCTAACACACAGCAGCCTCTTACAAACAAACCCATTTGTGTTATTTAATATCTTTTGTCCTGTAATTCTTTCTAAAAATGATATTTTGTCCCTGTTTTTCTCTATTATGTTGAAAATCCCTAAGGAATGGATTTCCAACTAACTTTAACATATTACTACATTTTTCTAAGGGTATACTCTTTAAAAAGCAATTTTAAATAACTATTTTTTAAAATAATTATTTATTTTATTCATTCATTCATTCATTTATTTTTTAGTTTGACCAGAGAGAGACAGAGGGTGAGAGTGAGAGAGAGAGGAAGTGAGAAAGCAAGCCACCAGATTCAGGACTCGAACCCTGGTCAGCCATGTGGGAGTGTCCAGAGCCTTAACCACCACACCACCTGCTGGTCCCTTAAATAACTATTATATAAATGTAGATCACTTGAACATTATTTTCAAATAATTTTTAAGGAAAAAAATCTCATTTTGATCCTGTTTAAAATTCCATTTAAATTTCATTCTACTGGTATTTCCTTAAATGAAAATTATTCTAGAATTTATCATTCTGCGTAAAATCTTAAGAAAAAAAACAAAAGGAATGCTTTATATCATCACACTTAAACACACCTACAAAATGAGATCCAAAAACTGCTACCAAAGCTAAATTGATGACATTCTTTTCACTGTAAAAATGAAAGCATTTGGCCTTTCCCACTAGATCAAATATGAATTTAAGCCAGTTTTTATCAGTGTGAGCTACATCTATGACTGTTTAGCTCTTTAACCACCAACCACACAGTAAGATTTGATTTTAACTAAGGGATTATGAAAAGTGTTGAGCCCTCAAAGGGGAGGGAACAGAATGTGCTGCCCTGCCCACCTCCCTCAAACAAGGCACAGTTCTGTCTTTTTCTCTAGCATGATGAAGAAACCAATTTTTTTCTCACTTCATACTATTTAGAAATGAATACAATCAACTGCAAAAAGGCTGTCCTTGAACACTCTGTGCCTCCAAATCCATGCTGAATCACACCAAAGTGACTGGATGTGCTTTTCACATTTAAACAATCTGTCACGTAAAACTTGGCATGGAGTTGGAGAGCAAGTGAGAGGCAGTCTTCAAAATCTCATGGGTCCTTCTTTTCTGGAACAGCAAGAGTAGTAAAAGGCTCTCTTTCTTCTATAACCTTTTTTTTTTTTGAGAGGTTTTCGCTATAGGGCACGTGTGCTCGCCAGACAGACAGAGACATAGAGACAGAAAGCGAGAAATCACCCCCCAGGGGGGATGGTCACGCCGCAATCCCTTCTCCTCCATTCTCCTCTCGGGATCTTGGGCACACACGCACATGCACCCGGCGTTGAGTTCTAAGCCACCGGGTCCGGGACGCAAACCGCGGTCGACTACGTGGGAGTCCAGCGACATAGCCATTACGCTAAATGCTGGTTCCCTTTCTTCTGTAATCTTAAGAATTTTATCATTCAACCAGAAAGTTTAGGTCTCTCCAGAGTTGACAGGTTTTGTTGTTGGTTTCAAAACTACTCAATGGGCCTAGCCTGGTAGCACAGACCACAGCAAACTGAACCGCATGCTGGAAGCCACAAGACTGACTGTGGGTTTGCATCCCTGGGTTGGCTTGAAAACATACCAGGTGCATTTATATATCTATACCCAAGATCCTGACAAGTTGGAAGGCTGGGAAAAAGGGGGTCATGGGGATGCTTTTCTCTCTCTCTTGTTCTCTATCAAAAGTAAAATAAAATTTTAAAAAGAAAAAAAATGAAACTATTCAGCGTAGTCAGAAATAATTTAGAAATGGAAACATTCAACACTATTTGTTATATTCATATTAAGGGGTAGTATTTTTACTTGCTTCAGAAAAATTCTTACCATTGAGGCTTGTAGTTTCAACGACTTTTTTTTTGTCCCAAGGAGGAAAAACAATACAGAGGTATGATTAAAACAAAAACTTAATAAATTGGGCTAAATTGAGGTTTAAATTTTTCAAAATCTTGCCTGGAGTACCATCAGAGTAAGGGACAAAACCAATGAGCGATGGTTCAGCTGCAAGAGAAAATGAAAAAAAAAAAAAGGAAAATTTTAGAATAAATGCTTTAAAATAATTACTTATACTATTTTATGGAGTTAGAACTTTTGAAATATAATTTTAAAAAGAAATAGAAAATATAGCAGTAGACCAATATATAGTTAAATCTGCAAGTCTCACAATCACTCAGTGAATACATTTAATCAGAGAATTGTAAAGAAATAACCCAAGATGAGGACCTGAGGCCCACGACTGCAATGTGTGCTACTGTCTATGGAATATCACACGAAAGTTTAAGAAGCCATGCCAAAATACAAAAAATATTACTTTCAAATTTTTTCAGCCAGAGAGTTCTAGAAAACATTTCAAATAACTTGTTAAACTACGATTAAATACATTGGCACAATGGCTGCATTCTGTTATAATGGTGCTTGGCAATGCTTCCCACATGAATTTAGGATTAAAAAAAAAAAAAAAAGCTACTACTCAGTACTGTACTACCTAACACAATTTCCTGGTAGGTTATTTTAAAATATGGCTGCTATTAGGACAATCAATCAAGTTATGAATTTCCTGTGGAATGACTTCACTTGCTAAGAGGTCAAGCTACTACACACATTTTGCATGTTTAAATATTTAAAAGATCCAATGGCTTGTTTTCTACCTAAACACAGCAAAACCAAACACAAACATTTTATAAATGAAGTAAGTTTTGCATTAGGGAGTCTGATTTTCAGCCAGTATGGACAAAATTTGGGTGTGTCAAGGCACTTGGCTGGCCTGTCAGTTTTACACCGCTCATGTGTTGGCTGAAACACACACGCCCTGTCTTGTCCCACATTATTGTTTCCATATTTTGTCATTTACTCCATTTATTTTTTTTTTTTATTACTAAGATTTTTTTGAGACGTAAGACAGTGCCTGAGCAATAAGGCTCAAAGCATTGATATGGAATCCTTTGCTCTCGGGGCAGAACAAAATAATTGGCCAAAGTTGGTTTTAATGAATGAGTATTAATTCTTCTGAAGGCTGAACAATGGCGACCGCATACCAAAAAAGAGGCGCATGGGCACAGCTGCCCACTATCCCTCGATGCCATACTGGCTTTTACTTTCCTGTCTGTACAGCCCTCACCCAGATACCCAGGTTGTGACTAGAACCAGTGTGTTCCCCCAAAGCCCCATTCCCCAGCCCATACAAACAAGATTCTGCAGATATCACTGTGACTGAGTTTGCCAAAGGCTAGTCTATCAGAAGAAAAATGCAAAATAGTGGTCCATTGTAAGCTAAAAGCTCGACAACTAGGGGGAAAACTAGCACTGGAAAACAACTTGGGCCCTGGAGGTCTGAAGTCCTGGGTTTGAAACTTTGCCCATTACTTAATGACTCATAATAATGACAGTTACTATTTATCGAGGGTTTACTCGGTGCCAGCCACATCTCATTTCGGCTTCCTAACTACCTTACAACACAGGTACTGATATTCTCCCCAATTTACAGACAAGGAAACTGAGGCCCAGAAGTGTTAAGGAACTTGCCCCGAATCATACAGTTACCAATGGGGGTAGGAGGGCAGTAGCCAAATTCAAACCCAAGGAGCCTGGCTCCAGAGAATGTGTGTGTAAGTGAGCATGTTTTATCCTTTGTGAACCTCAGTTTCCTTGTCTAAAACATGAATGTAACGATTCCTATGCAGCAAGACTGAGAGGCAAGTAAGGTGTCTGAAGACTTCCAGGTATGTCATATATGCACAAGAATTAATAGTCATTAATAATTTTATTTAAATAGATGAGCTAATAACAGTAGAAGCTCATTTTCATACAACAAAAGATAGTATGTAAGCTGACTCACTCGTTATCATGAAGGATTGTTCTGGAATATATGATATACCAGAAAGAAGACAGAAGTATGAGTCAGGGAAGCCACGTGCTGCCTCTGTATAATACGGGGCAAGAAGCTGTGTGATCTTAGTCAAGCCACTCACTCCAGGTTTCATTATCTCATCAACCAAGGGGTAGAACTGGACCCCTCTATACCTAAGGTCCCATTCTAGCCAGCAGTCTCGCATTTGGGTTCAATATGAGTTCTAGTTACACATTTCCCATTCATTTATTTGCCTTCCCATTCTAGTGAGCATGAAGCCCCTGGAAGCCCTGTGAAAAATATTCTTTCGGTGGGGATACTGAGGGAACAATATGTTTAAGAGAACATCTCATTCCTTAAATATAAGGACATCTGGAATTTTTATGTCCTTGATACCCCTTCAGGAAACTTGTTTCCTAGAATACTAAAAATAACTGATGAGCTTTGGAAGTTACTGTAATGAAAATCCACAATTCATTTCTCGGTGATTTACTCCCTGGCTTTGTCCGGCAATATGAAAGGATCAATATGCCTGTACTCTTGTCTATGTTTGCCATTGATTTTTAGGTGTAGGCTTAATGACAATTTAATTAAGCTTCTCAGAGGAAAACAATTTTGCTTTATCTGACTATATGCCATATTGCAAGGAAAGCTTTACAATGATATTTTCCTGAAATCCCCAAAGTCATAAAGTAGCAGTCTTACCAGATGATGATAAGCTGAAATTATCAGCATTTTCTGTTGAGGAAAAGGGTGATTTAAAATTAGTTTAGTTTATGCATAATTTATAGGAGATTAACATCTTTAATGGAAATGAATATAAATCAAATTTCAAATAGCTACCAAAAGAGGGCAATCTGCTAGTTACTATTATTTTTAATGGTATAATCAATATAAGTTGGGTATCCCTTATCTGAAATGCTTGGGACCAGAAGTGTTTTGGATTTAGAATGATTTTTGGATTTTGGAATACTTGCATATACAAAATGAGATATTTGAGAGACAGAACCCAAGTGTAAACATGAAATCAATTTGTTTCATATATAATTTATACAAATAGCCAGAAGGTAATTTTATACAATATTTTTGTATTGCAGTGTTTTGACTGTGGCCAGTCACATGAGGTAAGGACAGAATTTTTCATTTGTGGTGACATGTCTGCACTCAAAAATTTTCAGATCTTGGGTCACTGGATTTCAGATTTTTGGATCTGGGTGGGAGGTTGAGAAAGCAAACTGCCAGTTCCAGGACTTGAACTGCAATCAGCCATGGGAGTCCAGTGCCCTAACCACCATGCCACCTGCTGACCCCAATCCTTCTCATTTTTAACTCTTGATGGTGCTCCATATATTTTGTTATATAACAGTTTATTACATTTTAAGCTAAAAATCATGACTAAGGCAGTTGCTCCCTAGCAACCAGCCCGCTCAAAAGTCTCTTGGGTGTACTTCTTAATTCTTCCTTTCCTATTAAATTCTCTTTTCTACCTACTTCTATTGTGCTTGTGGCTTTATTTTGTGCCTAGGGACAGTCTAATTTTAGTGACCTGGTCCCAAAGAACCAAGGATTTTACACAACACAGCTCAACACTCCCATCCTATGACAAAATAATCCATCAGATGACCAGAAACCATTGCAGAGGCACAAGAAACATGGGAAACCAAGAAAATATCTCTCCCCCAAGGGGAAAGAACAGCCTTTCATCATCAATAGACAGTACAATGGACCTCACAGAAATGTCGGATAAAGAATTTAGAATATTCATAGTGACAGAACTAACAAAGATGCAAGGGAAAAGAGACAATGAACTCCAGAAAATGCAAGAGAAAAGAGACAATGAGTTTCAGGAGGTGAGGAAGTTCTTGCAAAATCTGAAAGAGGAAATACACACCATAAAAAAGAATTAACTCGAACTGTTAACATGAAGACTGTAATACAGAAAATCAAAACCTCTCTTGAAAGTATTAAAAGCAGATTAGGTCATACAGAAGATCAAATCTCAGATGTAGAAGAAACTCTGACCTAGAAAAATTCACCAAAAAGACTGAGAAAATAACCTCAAAATGAGAATAATATACAAGTAATACTAGATACCATTAGACGCCCTAACATCTAGATAATCAGTATCCCAGAAGGTGAAGAAACTCATAAGGGCATTGATAATCTAATCCATGAAATCCTTGAAGAAAACTTTCCAAACCTAGAGAGGCATTCAAATATCCAGACGCAAGAAATACAAAGGACCCTCAAGAGAATCAACCTAAGATCTTCTCCAAAGCACATCACAGTCAGATTGACCAAAACCACAGACAGAGACAAGATACTAAAATTGGCAAGAGAGAAACGTCAAGTTACTTTCAAAGGATATGCTATCAGGCTAAATTGGACCTCTTGTCAGAAATAATGCAAGAAAGGAACAAATATATTCAAAATGTTAAGTGAAAAACAATTTCAACCAAGAATACTGTACCCGACAAGATTATCCTTCATATGGGAAGAAAAGCCCAAAACATTCTCAGATAAACAAAACCTGAAAGAATTTACCAACACCAGTCCAGCTCTTCGAGAAGTTCTAAATGGAGTATACCAGGAAAACTAAAGCCAGACAGAAATAACAGAACAACAACAACAAAAAAATGACCCAAAAAAGGCCAACTTGGGGCCAGCAGTTAGCATAATGGCTATGTCGCTGGACTCCCATGTAGTAGACCACGGTTCGAGTCCTAGACCCGGTGGCTTAAACTCACACCGGGCGCATGCGCACGTGTGCCCAAGATCCCAAGAACAGAATGGAGGAGAAGGGATTGTGGCATGGCCATCCTCCCTTGGGGGTGATTTCTCGCTTTCTGTCTCTCTGTCTCTCTCTGTCTTCCTGGCAAGCTCACGCACCGTATAGCAAAAAACTCTCAAAAAAAAAAAAAAAAAAGGCCAACTTAATAGAAGGGACACGTTCAGAGAAATATCAATACTAATGTTAAATGTTAACTTCCAGGATTTTAATGGAAAGATCAGACCACAGTAACACTGCAAATTCAACAAAAGAGAGATTACATGAGACTGAACTGGTGAAATAGAATTCTATGATTTTTTGTCTAAAATATTACTGATTTTCTTCTATGCTTTGTCTTCTATATTTAAGGATTTTGGTTTTGTTTTTAGTGGTTGATAGGTTCAGCAATTTGTTAAAAATTTTTTTTAACTGAAACAGAAACTTTTCTCCCTTCCTAACCCCTATGGAATTGAAAAATATTTGTGAGCATTCTAATTTTGTGGCAGAATGGTTATTTGCATAAGTTCAATTATACAATAGTATCTGTTGCCTTGTATCAGAAATTAAATCCTATGGGGCTTTGTGCAAATAAAAAAACAAATTGAGATTAACCAATTTTTTTTTTTTTTGCAAATAAATTAGTTTATACCTCTCTTTAGTAAAAGGGGGAATGGAGAGAGGAAAAAATGTTTCAGAAGAAAATTACAGTGCACTTATCACTAGATTCTAGCTTTGTCCATATTTTTAGTTTAAGATCTTTTGTGAATCAATAAAAAATAGTATGGAAGGGAGGGAGGGGAAAGCAGAAAGAAAAAACAAGTAGTATGCTGAATGACAAAAAAACGAGATGCTATTTGCTGATGATAATGTATATAGGAATATCTTTGTCTTGACCGACATGCATGGTGTTTGTGCTGGAAAAAGAAATGTACACTGTAAAGATGTGATCACATGTAAATAAATAAAATAAAGTTTTAAAAATTATTTTAAAAATCATGACTAAGAACTTCAGTTGTTGGCTAATATTCATTAAAATGTAAAAAAGTAAATATATACATCTTCATAAATTAAACTCCCATTTAACCGTGCTTCTTTTTAGTTTAGACTTTAATACCTACTTAAGCCACTTCTTTCTTATGAGTTAAACTAGATCAGACACCTTTGGGTATATAAACTTTAAGGGCTGCTGAGTTATTTACTTTGGGAAAATGTTCAGATCCCTTAAAAGAAAAGTAATTCTATTTTTTCTCTGTGAAAAATAATGTATACTTATTGGAAAAAAATAGAAATGATAAACAAAGAGAAAAAAACAAAAACCACATATAGTTTCACTACCCAGAAATAAGTGAAATTAACATTTCAGCACATATTCTTTTCTGTCTATGTGTAGATATACACCCACATATGTATATAGATCTATGCAGATATGCATATATATGTACTCATACATATGATAAGGATCATATCACACAAAAATATTTATAACCTGATTTTTCTTATGATAGCACATCCTGAAAAATTGTTCTATATCACTAAACAATTTTTCACAAAACTATTTGTGATGGCTGCATGGCATTTCATTGACTGGATGTATGAGATTCATTGTCTGTATAATTAATATTCTTTTAATGGAAAAATTATGTGCATAATTTTTCATGATTGCACAGTGCTGGAATAAATTCTTCTGGCTACATTTCTGCATACATACTTGGCTATTTCTTTCAGAAATTCCATGAATTCTGAACATCAGAATGCCCTAAAGAAGGGGCCGGCAAGTGGCGTGGTGATTAAAGTGCTGGACTCCCCCATGGCCACCCATGGTTCACGTCCTGGCCCTCGCAGCTTGCCTTCTCACTTTCCCTCTCTCTGTCTCTCCCTCTAACCCAATTAAAGAGTAATAACAAATAAATAAAATAATTATTTTATAAAAACCTCTATTTTTTAAGGAAAAAAAAAAAAAGAATGCCCTAAAAAAAATGAACCAATGAATATCACCCTTTCCTGTACATGATAGTGTTACTTCTCCAAACTCTCACCCACATGGGGTATTAACTTACAAATTTTTCCAAAAAGTTAAAAATTCCGAAGCAATAGTTACTTTCATAATGGTATCTTGAGATACAATTAATAGGCAAGAGCATACGTTTAGAAATCAACCTAAGTGCCCAACAACTGATGACTGGATTTAGAAAATATACAGCGGGACCAGCAGTTAGCGTAATGGCTATGTTGCTGGACTCCCACGTAGTCAACCGTGGTTCGAGTCCTGGACCCAGTGGCTTAAACTCACGCCAGGTGAGTGTGCGTGCATGCCCAGGATCCCAAGAGGAGAAAGGAGGAGAAGGAATTGCGGCCTAGCAACTCCCGGGGAGTGATTTCTCGCTTTCAGTCTCTCTGTCTCTCTCTCTCTCTGTCTGGCAAGCACACACGCCCTATAGCAAAAACCTCTCAAAAAAAAAAAAAAGGAAAAAAAATATGGCACATATACACTATGGAATGATAATCATAACAAACAGCAAGACTCTGTCATTTGATACAAAGTGGAAAAATATAGAGGATTTAAAGCAAAGTGAAATAAGTCAGACTATGGAAGACAAACACTGTATGTCCCAAGACTATATATACCGAACACCTGCGCTCTGGCAGAAATTGAAAGATTCAAAGATAGAATAGTAGAAAGGACAGTATAACCAGAGACTGTATGGGAGCAAAGTGTATAGTGGCAGGTAAGTGAGATGGACTCAGGACAAAAAGCATTTAGCAGAACAAGAATGTAAGGTTTTTTTTGTTGTTGACAATGATGTATACATTAATATCCTTAATTTGATTATCACGCAATGCATGAATGTGTTGAAAAACCATATTGTACTCCATAAAGATCTACAACAATGAAATATAAATAAGAAATTATAAGATTTAAAAAAATTTCAAAAAAACCTGCACAGTAAAACATACCTGGCAGCCTCCA